AAAGGGGAATTCTGAGGGGATAAAGGGAATTCTGAGGGGGAAAAGGGGAATTGTGAGGGGATAAAGGGGAATTCTGAGGGGGAAAAGGGAATTCTGAGCGGGAAAAGGGGAATTCTGAGGGGGAAAAGGGAATTCTGAGGGGGAAAAGGGGAATTCTGAGGGGGAAGACGGGAATTCTGAGGGGATAAAGGGGAATTCTGCGGGGGGAAAAGGGGAATTCTGAGGGGATAAAGGGAATTGTGAGGGGGAAAAGGGAATTCTGAGGGGATAAAGGGAATTCTGAGGGGATAAAGGGAATTCTGAGGGGATAAAGGGAATTCTGAGGGCATAAAGGGGAATTCTTAGGGCATAAAGGGGAATTCTGAGGGGAAAAGGGAATTCTGAGGGGATAAAGGGGAATTCTGGGGGGATAAAGGGAATTCTGAGGGGATAAAGGGAATTCTGGGGGGATAAAGGGATTTGAGAGAATAAAAAGTGAATTCTGAGGGGATAAAAGGGGATCTGAGGGGATAAATGGGCTCTGTGGGGTTTTAAAAAATCTTTATTTTTGTACTTGTATTTTTATCTTTACTTTTATTTTTATCTTTTCATTTTTATTTCATTTTTCTTTTCATTGTATTTTTATATTCTTCTTTAATTTTATTATTTTGTTTTTTTCATATCGTATTTTGTTTTATTGTAGTTTGTTGTATTTTATTTAATTTATTTTTTGTTCATATTTTGGTTCTTTCATATTTTATTGTAAATTTTTGTATTTTGTATTTTATTTTATTTTATTTTATTTTATTTTATTTTATTTTATTTTAATTTTCCCCATTTTTCCCGGGAATGTTGTGGCGTTCCCGGCCAGCAGGGGGTGACAGACTCCAGGGAATCTTCGGGAATTCCTCTGGAATTCCAAAATATTGATTTATTTATTCCCTACATTATAACACATTCCATTCCATCACATTATTTATATTATTAAATTATAATATCATGTTATTATACTACAATAACCTTTAAAAATCACTTTACCCACAATAGGATAAATAAAAAAAGGGATTTTTTATTTTTTTTCCCATTTTAAATGGAATAAAAGCGGTTCAAAAAAGGATTTATGGGGATTTTTAACCCAAAATTCCCTGAATTTCTGTCACCTCAGGGATCAAAAGAGATTTTTTTTT